TGGATTTCTGTCTCCAAGAATGTGTCAGTATGGAAGAACTTATGACCCAGTTTGGACATGCCATGCTGGAGAATGATCACCCTAGTCTTTCTGCTATGGTGGCCTTGCCTTATTCCCCTCTCCCAACTAGAAAATACATGTAGTTTTGACATGAGAAGACTCTGAATGCCACAGTTCATGATTCATTCCAGTCGTGATGTATAATTTTAATTATTTTGCTCCCGTGTATCCATGTCACTGAATCTGTGTTGGCTATAAAGCTTCTTTCTAGGGCTCCAAAAGTGGTTACAGAGTCATTGTTAGGGGTTAATGAAAGTATTTGGGTGACAGTAATTGGAGGGAGAGGGGGAGATGGTAATAGGAGAGGAGACAGCTCATATGAAGTGTTTACGTTTCTGTCTACATGTGGTGTACTTATGTGGAATCTGCCAATGCATCTATGTGGTTCTACTGGAGACTGTTTTTCCGTAAGGTGCTGTTTATTCTGGTTGTGCCTGTGTGTATGTAGGTAGGTATGTTTATGTGGCTATACGTAATTCTTAGTGTGTGTGTGAGCACATAGAATATATGCCAGTTGTGTTTTGAGAGTGTGGTAGCTGTGTCCTGGCATGTATATATTTCATGAATAATGTCTCTGATTGTACATTTACTGTGTTTGTGTGGTCTCTGTTAGTTAGTATGTGATATTCATCTAGGTGAGAATGGTGGACAATATCTTTCTGTGTATCTGGTAACAATGTTGCTCCTATTTTTTCTTCATATTTGTAATATGTAGATGTAGAATGTGATATGTAAAATGTAATATATGTAGAGTGCAATGTGTAGAGTGTAAAATATTAAATATTTGTAACAATGTAGAGTATGTAATATGCATGAGCGTGTGGAATGTGTAGTGTTGAGATTCTGTACCTTTTGGCATGTGTGGTGGTTATCTTTGGGCATATGTCTGTTATTCACAGTATTTGTGTTATGAAATCATTTCATGTGAGATATATGTCTTTAGTCATATTTAGGTGCAAGGTAATGTCTGAAGGGTGTGTGTGTACGTGTGTGTATGCATGCATTGTTTGTGATGATTGTGTTTTGGGCATTTGTCTGGTGCATGTATTTTAGGGCACGTTTCCTTTGTGTAGTGGGTGTGGATTATATGGCGCAAGAGTGAGTAGTTCCTGAGCACTGATTGGTGAATGGTGTCTGTATGCAGCAGGGGTGGAGGCAGGAGATTGAAGAGGTCCTGATTGTGAGCAGCAGACGTAACTTCCAAATTTGAGAGCCATGACTCTAAGAGGCCCAGTTTCTTGGTCTGGGCTCAGTCTTGGATTATGGCTCAGTCTCTGGGAGTGATAGATAAGCACAGTGCTTCTTCCTTCCATCTTCTCAAAGGCTAGGCCACACTTTCTTCATTCTGACCACAAGGATTTCAGGTGCTTGTCACTTCTTCCCATCTTTCCTCCCACCCTTCCTGTGGTATTGGCCTCCCTAACACCTGGCCTCCTGCCTCAATAGCAGGTCACAGTATCTTCCCCTCTCCCTTCCCTTTCTTGCTGGTCTACCAAACATGTTTAAATGTCCTGTCCTTGATTATAGGGAGTTTCTTTTAAACCCTTTGGGGAATCAGTGAACGAGGATAGGGGATGTGGGGGGAGACAATATGACACACCGCACAGGCTCAGGCGTCTCCTAGGAGCCTCTCACTCCAGGTACACTCACTCAACTTCCATGTCTTGGACTCTGTTGGGTCAAAAATGTTCGCATTGAAGAATGATAGGTAGAAAATAGTGTCAATGCGTTTAAGGCAGAGGAAAGAACACTGAAGTAGGACTTATAAGGTTAAAATCCAGGAAATATAGATGAGCATACCGTATAACCTCTCTAGATCTCATTTCCTCTTCTGTATAATGAGAAACTACAATAGCAACGATGTTGTAAAGCTTAAGTACTGTGAATGTCCTTTGTAAACTGCAAAGTGTTGTAAACACACAAGAAATGATCCTGCTCATGGTTGTCTTCTTGTACAACTTTAAGAAACACCATTTGCATCACGATCTATGTGAATGGTGCTCCCAGAATTGTGCAGCGTATCACCAATTTGGCCATGCGTGGTTGTCTTGACTTATTGTTAGTAATTAAAACAACTGTTTATCTCTTAATAAATTGTTTTCACAAAGTTTCAGAGAAGTTGCAATTCATTTCCCTGTGCTGGTGCCTGATTTACAAGTGAAAAGGACAATCTTGCCAGGAAGTTCGTTTAGACATGGTTGATATCTATATCAGCAAAGGAGACATTGTGGGGTTGGAATTAGATGCAATATAGGTTAAGATCACTAACTTTGATATTTGGGCAAGTTACTTAGCCTGCTGAACCTGGGTAATTTTGGAAACTGTAAACACTGCAAAACAGAAATCTAATGTAGCTCCTGTTGGGTGGTTGTGGGGATTAAATAGGATAATAAGTTTGAAAACACATGGAAAATAGAAAGTGATCAATAAATGTTGGTGGCAATAGTTTTAAATAATAAAACTGATAAAATGAGATATGTTTATTCCATTATAGGGGATAATATACAAAGTACAGCAATCTTCACCTTTCATAACCACCTTCTGTGCCAAGGCCAGAAGCTAGTCCCTTGTCCAGATTACAGTGTCACTCATTTTAGACTAACTCATGGCCTTCTTTCTCAGGAGACCTGGGAATATCTCTGAGTTCTCTAGAATCTCTTTACTTGGATAGCTGGTGGTGACTGGAGTAATTGCTGCTTGTTGGAGAACTTGGCTAACTGCCAGACTGGATTAAGGGCTTTCCCCAAGCTCCCACAGTCTCTGTGCTTCCCTCTATCATATAACTTAAAGCTCTGCATTCTGACTGGATATTTATCCCTTTGTCATAGAGCTTAAACAGTTATATGATAACTGTCTGTTTATCCTCCATCAAAGAACTTAAATATCCATATGATAGTTGTCTGTCTCCCTTGAAAACAAGAACTAGGTTTTTCTTTATCTCCAGGGCCTGGCATATAAGGTGCTCGATGGCTATTTGCATGGGGCCTCTCAGAGGGAGGGAGAGGCTGAGTGGATTCTGGTTCATTTTAGATAAACGAATTCACTCTTATTCCCTGCCCACCTCACCCCTGCCATCCTTTCTCATCTGTTGTTCCTTTCTGTGTAAATTATAGTCCTTAGTTTGACCTGTGTTATCTTATGAAGTCCACAAAGTACTTTTCCCACCTGTTAATGATCAATTATAAACTAAAGACAACATTAGACTGTAGGTAATGTTTGGTTATTTATTCCCTCCTATTGAGGCAAGATCCTTCTGTGTTATCTGCTCAATGCCCTGTGAGTCTTAAAGTTTTCCTGTCTGGCTCATGGGAACAGTCACTATCCTTGGCCATATGTGAGCACTGAACAATGTTACCTTGAATCTTTAGTACTTGCTCACATGCATGTGCTAATTAGTACCCAGTTGAATTTCTGAGGAGGATCCTCTACTCTTCTCTGGAGTTCTTTCTCTGTGTAGATCTCTCATCTCCAATACTCTGCCTTCAAATTGTAGCTAGCTTGATCTTCCTGAACCCTCAGCTCCATATCTTCAGCTTAAGGTGTCCACTGGACTCTGCCTGCATTCTCCTTTCCTGTACTACATCATGGAAACTCTCTCAAGGCAGTAAGCTGGGGGAACCACAGGGGTCACCTCGTTTGTTTCCCATGTCTCAGGGCTCACTGTCCTTCACTGCCTGATATCCAGTATCTCACAAAGCATTGCTTTATGTATATTGTCCATTTTAGGTTCCATCAGGTGGATGTTACTTCCTTTACTCCATCTTGGCCAGAAGTAGAAGTCCCTGGGGTATTTTTTTTAAAGGCTTCACATAGTCTAAGTCTATGGGAGGTTGAGAGAGGCAGCATAGAAGGCTCAAGGAGGGTGGCAGCTAGTGTCAGGCTGCAGGTTTGCAGGCACCAGGAGCTCTTGTAATCATTAATTTTGATGTGGTCTGAGTTGGAATGGCCAGATTTGACATTGTCTATTTTTGCATAGCTTAAGGCAGCATGCCATGAGTTGTGAATTTAAAACTTACACTGTGAAACTGACGAAAATACAAAATAAGGAGAAACCAAATAAAATTCACTTGGCTTTATTTATAGACGTGTTTTTTTTTTTTTTTTTTACTTATTTAAATATGTAAGATATTTAGTTTCACATTAAAATTGTTCTCTAACTCTCTAAAATGTTCTCTCACTATTTTTGTCACTAAGGGAGAAACCAGATGGCAGTGGTCTTATATGGCTGGTGTTGGGGATAGGGAAGGGTTAAGGAAACCGCATCCTCCTTCCTCAGCCAGTAGTTCAGAAACCCATGGCCAGGGAGTAGAAGGCAGAGGCATGGTCCCTGGGGACCCCTGTTATGAGTTAGCTAGACACAGGCCCCAGAGCCTGGGAGTCAAAGATGTGGCCCTAGAGTTTTGGGGAAAGACAGAAGCGTCCATTGGGATCCAGGCTCAGCAAAGACCCAAGCAGGGGCTACCAATGGGAAGAGACCAGAGGACAGAGAAAGCTTCAGGAAGGAGAGGAGCTAGCACTTAGTCATGGGACATCCCTGAAAGTTTATTCTGCTTTTTCTCTGGCTGAGTTTGATAAGCCTGGGGCGAAACTTGGAGAAAAGCCCCTCCAAAGGCCATGGGAAATGAGTTTCTTCTAGCCTTTCCTCATTCATTCCCCCTGCCTAATTTCACACAGGGAGCTGGCATAAGTGTCCAGCTGGCACAAGGCCCATCTGGGGAGCACTCTAGAGACCCCCTCTACCCACTGCGCTTCCTTTCCCTATATCCCCGGGCACACCTTCCCAGGACACAGAAGCCAATAAAGACACCAGATCCACAACTGGCTACTGAGGGGTACCTGCTGATAGACCCTCTTGGCAGCACCCCACCCCCCAGCAGGGAGAAGCAGAGGAAGGAGGAGGTAAGGCAGAGAATAAATAACCCTGACCAGGGAGGCCCAAAGGAGGAGGCGGAGACAGAGAGGGCTGTACTTCAGTGCAGCCTGCCCTGCCCGACCTCCTCAGGAAGAATCCTGGAGGAAAGGGCATACGTTCCTTCAGTGCAATTGAGGTGAGTATAGGAGACCAGGGGTACATCCAGGTGTGTGGGCTTCTTGTAGCCAGGGATCTCCCATTAGACTGCTGAGTGAATGAGAAACCAGGCTGTGAAGAACCACAAGTACAGGGGTGGGGCCAGGGGATGTGAAGGAGGGCCCTGGTTCAAAGGACAGACAGCCTTAGCAATTTCTGTATTTGTGTGGTGAAGGGAAGCATGGACGATGTTAGATGCTGTTGATGGGTAGTTTTCAAGCAATTTTCCAGTGATCAGTTTACTAAGAGCCTGGCAGGAGTTGGTCTAAATGAAGGTGAACAGGGGCAGAGAACAGACAGGGTTGGGACTGGATTAGAGTTGGTTTGGGGCTCAGTGTGAGAACAGGGCCCATACCCAGATTGTTAGTGTGGTTGAAGTTCAGTTTGTGATTGGGGGTCAGACTATAGCTCTGTTTGTGGTGTGGGCTCAGAGCAGGGTCAGACTCATTCTATACTCTGAATCAGGAGTCAGACTGTGGCTGAGATTGGGATTTAGCAATCTTCCCGGGGTTCTAATCTTGACTCAGTCTGTGCTTTGGATCAGGGTTCAGTCTTCAGCCCATTTAAAAAGTGAATGAGTGTCTACACTGCGACTTTCCCTGCCTTGCACTCTTTACCCCAGCTACACTGAACCACTTGCAGCTTTCCAAACATGATATGTTCTCTTTCTCTCTGGGACTTCAAATTTGCCAGAATGCACATTTGACAACGAGTTAGATCAGTCTGTTGCTTAAATTCCCTGAAGTGATTGAGAATTAAATCAAAGCTCTTTGCCATGTCCTGCAAGCCACTACATAATCTGGCCCCTGCCCTCCTCTCTGTCCTCATCTTCTAAAACTCTCCTGTGCTCTCAATACTGCAGCACATTGATCTTCTTTCTGTTCCGTGAAACTCCAAACTCATTCTTGTCTCAACACCTTTTTCTCTTGTTGTCTCCTCTGCCTGGAACACTCTTTCCCTAGATCTTAGAATGTGTGGTGTTTGCTCATCACACAGCTCTCAGTTCATATGTTACCTCCTCAGAGGCTTTCACTGAACCGCATCTCAAATATGGGAGCCCTGCCCCTGTCCTTTTCCCTCCTATCACTCTATCTTGTCTTCAGTGAACTTATCTTCCTCTGAAATTTTCTTGCTTTTTTGTTTACTTTTTGTTATTGCCCTCCTAGTGCATGAGCTCCATGAATGCAGTGATCTTTTCTGTTTTATCCACTGTTTTATCTCCAATTTGGGGCACATAGTAGGCACTCCATGCATTTTTGTTGTCTACCTGAATGCTGCTGTCCCCACACTCCCAATCCTGCCTGCTTAACTTCAGCTGGACCTGCAAGTGTCAGTTCAGTCGCCACCTCCTCGGGGAAGCCCTCTAAGCCTGACAACTTGGCAAACTCTTGTCTGATTTGCCTCCGAGGCCTTTGTGCTTACCTTGTCCTGGCATTTATCACAACATGCTGTGATGGCTGCGTACTTGTCTCAGTTTCTTCCCACCACTGGAAGGCTGAGCGGTGCTTCGTTTACTCTGTACTTCAGTATCTCCAGAGCACAGCACAGAGTCTGGCACACAGTAGTAGTCAATCAGTAATTGTTAAAAAAAAATCAGAGTATCGATCAAAGTCCCAGATCCAGTTTTTCCGCTGCACCACATTTCCCTGCATGCAGACAACAGCTAGAGTAGCTCTAAAGGGCACTGATAATTAGGTCATGATTTGCAGGTCTGTGGGACTCTTATTGGCTCTGGTACTACTTGGGAAAGTAGAGGGGCAGGGACCCGAACCCCTGGTGCCCTGCCTGGGGCTGATTTTGGGGGGCCAGGCTGACTTGAGTGAGTAGAGTACTCTGCTTTATTTGAGTTAGAAATTGCAGCCTCTCATTTTTCTGTTCCCATCTTGGCCATTCTAAAAAGAATTTCCAAGGCCCTGCAAGGGTTCATCTGCTTTATCAAGTCCAAGCAAGGTATGGGGGACAGAGGATGTGGATGATTTGGGGTGGATGTGATTCTGGATGTGTTAGGAAAGGGCATATTCTCCATGAATTGAGTGATGAGCTCCTGCAGTCCTTGCTGGCCACAGTGTTGCCCCTGAGGTCTGCTTTCCCTCTCTGGTCCTGGGAGTAGGAGTCAGAGACTCCCAGGTATTTCTGGGCTTGTCTCCAAGAACATTCTCTTTCAGATGTTCCCACAGAGGCTGGCAGTGGCTCCAGAGGCCCCCACCTCGCTGCTCTAGGCATGGAACACTTTTTGTATTTATACCATGAATCCCCTCTCCTATTCCCTCCTTGTTTCTCTTCCCTACTGAACCTAAGCGGGAAGAGCTGGTCAGGTATCCTAAGTCATAGGGAGGCTCTCTGGACTCATGGGTCCTCAAATTTTAGATTCCTTGGAGATTAACATTGAAATAGTCCTTATAAAGCATTGGTCCATTCTTATGGAGACTGGGAGAGGGGCAGGACAGTAGTTTGGCATATTGGAAAGCACACGGATTGGGCACTGAGAGCTCAACATCCTTATCTATCAAATGGGATTATTAATACCTGCCTGACAGGTTGAGGGGAGGCTCTAATCATATAAGAAGGAAGTATTTGGTAGAGAATAAAGCATTTTAATCTCCATTGTGGGCCTTCCCAAGTCACAGCCAGAGGAGTTGGGACTGAAAGGAGGAGAGTACCCAAGTGCAGTCCAGGGGGGTCCCCTTTACTGCCCTCTTGGGTGCCCTTCCAAGGGTCTGCCTGGGCCAGGTGTCCTACTTACCAAGCCCTTCTTCTACCCTGCCTCTTGGGCAGATTTTATTAGCTTTCGGAAGGTACATCACAATTAAAGGCAGCCTAGAAGAGAGGAAAATGTACAGGCCTTAGAGTTAGACAATCTAGGTTGAAGAGAGGAAAATGCACAGGCCTTAGAGTTAGACAATCTAGGTTAACTTTCTGCTTTATCAGCCAACTGTTAAACCCTGGGAACATTATTTAACCCTTTGGGACCTTAGTTTTTTTGCCTATAATATACAGAAGATACATTGAATTCCAATTATGCAGAGGTGTTCTTCGGTGAGAGATAAGCTTTATACAGCATCTGGCATTTTGTAGGCACTCAATGATTTCTGTTATTATCATAAAAACAATGAAATCAGTGTTGGGAGTGACCTCATTGTTCTCTTGGGTCAGAAGGAATAGAGCTTGTACCCCTGGTCTACCTCTATGACTGCTTTTCCATGGGTCTCTGAGAAGGAAGGAGTTCAGAGAGTTCTGGGAAAAAGTATGAGGATGGGCTAGCCTTGGGGGCTGAGTGGGCACAGGGGGACAGAGTCCTGGAGACGAGGGGGAGGGAATGAGGAGGATTGAATGCCTCAAAATGGATTTCCACTGTGTATACCTGGGGGCTCCTGCTCCCCCATCCTCAAGAGAGGGCTAAGATGTCCTTCACAATTCAAGAAACATTCCTGGGGCTTGCTAAGATAGTGAGATTTTTTCAGAGAAAAGCTCAAGCACAAGGCTATTCCCTGGGGGTTAGGACAGTGTGGGCTTTAAAAAAAAAAAACAAAAAAACCCAACTATCTTTGTTTATTTTTCCTTGATTATGTTTTATTTTAAAAATAGAATGATTTAGTTCCAATCTCCTCCAGAGCTCTAAAATGTTCTCTGAGTGCGTGCAAATTTTCTAATTACCAACAGCTGCTCAGGCTGGCTGTCGTCTGGTCCCTCTGCCTACTTCCTGGTGGGACTGTGGGAGATTGGGATGCTTTAGGGCTGGACAGTTTGAAGGGTGCCAGGTGGACCCTCTTGCTGGATCCCCTCCTCATTCCTTCATTTCTCTCCTGCTGCAGTCTTTGGAGGTCCAGCAGCGTATTTTATCCCCAGCCATAGCTGCCCATTTTGTGCTGCTGAGGCACCTCCCTTCCAGGCTGGCTGAATCTTCCTCTCTTTGATTCCTGGTATCTCCGTATCAGTGCTTAGTCTTTGCCATTGTGAGAGATGGACTGCTAGTCAGTATGGTGTGTGTATGAGTGTGTGCTTGAGGTGGAGTGGCAATTAAGGTGACAAATAGGAGGGAAATGAAAAGGTTTTAGAAACTTCACATGTTTTCAGAGATCTTGTTCCTTATTTTTATGGAAACATGAGAAAAAGTGCTTAGTATACTGTGGTGCAGTTTTTACAACATCTTTTGAGATGCCTTATCTCATAATTTTGCAGCAGCACTATGAGGTTATTATCTTCTGCATTTGTTTAGAGCTGAGACTTGCATTCCTTGCCCCAGGACTCTGCTCACCACATCACTTTACCCTCAGGGGTAATTGAGTTGAATATACCAACCCATGATTCTTCCCCAATATGTTTCCTAAGGCAGCACATTTTGATCCTGGGAATTGCCCTGCTCTACTATATCTGTCCATGTGAAATGTCTGGATATCTGGCCATCTGAAGTACCAGAGCCTTCTTGCTGATGCCTCCGGGTGAGGGATCCTAGGTCACCCCCTCTCTCGGGCACAAACTATGCTGCATGTCCACTATGCGTTTCTTTAGAGCCAAGGCTTTGCACCTGCCCTGTTCTCCATGTATCGTCTCATGCCCTCTGGCTCCCTGGGAAAGAAAGGCCCTTTCTGTTTGACCTTAAAGATTCTTGTTCTGAACTTAAGACCACCCTGCACTGACCTTCCAAACATTCTTTTATTCTTCTCAGAAGTGTCTATAGTTCAGACAACTGGCAGCCCTTCCTACCCCTTCGCTGTGCCATCGTCATTAGATGCCTATTGAGGGATTCTTTTGATAAAACTCATTTTCATTTTCAGCAAACATTGAGTAAATGCTAATAAATACGGTAGAGTCCCTGCTATCAAGGAATTCATAATTCAGGGGAAAACAAATATAGCAATAATTATAGTTCAGGATGGTAAATGCATAAAAAGAGATCTAAATAAAGTTCTTTGGAGCACAGAACAGGAAATATTTAATTACACCCAGGGGAAAGAGTCTTAGGAAAATAGGAAAGGAGAGAGCCAGTAAACCAGGATGTGAAAGACAGTAAGATTTTGCTCAATGGGAAGTCAAGAAGAGAGGTCTGGGAGGATCTTGACAAAGGGACGAGAAGTAAAAAAGGTAAGACACAGAGGCATGGGAATCAATGCTACCTTCATGAAACAGTATGCATTCTAATGTGGCTAGAGTGTAGGGGCCTTGGTGAGGAATAGAGAGAGAGAAACCTAGGACCAGATGCTGAAAGACGGACGTTTTGCCATATCCTAGTAGTTTGGTCTTTATTCCAGAATTAATTTGGAGTTTTCAAAGGTATTTTTTTAAGCAACAGATAGTGACCTGATTTTATTTGGTTAGAAGGTTATTGGGATTGTGCAGATGAAGAAGGTTAGGGGCATGGCAGTCGGAATCAGAGCATCTAGCTTGTGTGATGGTTTAGGCCACCATAACAGAAAAAAGGAAACACTAGAGGAAAAAGGTTAACAACAACAGATATGATTTTTTTGCATATTTACTATGTGCCAGGCATTGTGTTGAATGCTTTACACTCATGATCTTATTTAATCTTCACGTTGACCTCTATTAGGCAGCGACTATTATTCTCATTTTAAAGATGAGGAAACTGAGGCTTGGAAAGGTTCAGTGATTTGCCTGAGATGGCACAGCTAACGAAGTTGTTGACTGGGATTTGAATCCAGGATCGATTTCAAAGCTCATACTCTTAACAGCTATACGATACTGCCTCTGGCAGAGTTTCTTTTTCAGACATGGAGAGTTTGATATACTTGAGAGAGATCCAGGTGGACTCTTTTAGTAAAACTTTAGAGTTATGAATCTGGATCACATAAGATAACCCAGAGCTTGCTAAATAGATTTGTGAACAAATAGTTTATATATAAGAACCGGATTTACTGAAGGGGATGAGATGGCCCAGGGAGAGGGTATAGAATAAGAAGAGCACCGAGGATAAAATTCTGAGAGCATTATCATTTAAGAATATGCTTAAGGGTCAAGCAGAGGAGGCTGAAGACCCAGAAAGGAGAACAAGAATTACTGATCAGAGAGAGATGAGGAGCAGCAGAAGGAGGAGGGCGAAATTTTAGGAAAGAGGGAACTACTTACAGTGTCATATACTACAGAGAGGTCAGTACGGAAGATTTAAGGGACATTGATGACTTTGGCCTCTTTGACTGAAGTTCTAAGTTAAAAATGGCTTCCTATATCTTCTCCCTCCAGCAGTTTGAATTAAATTGTCACTCTCTGTTCTAAAACTCTTACTCCCAGTGTTTTGCTCTCTCTGTCTGGTCCCAGGGAAACTCTGGGTAACAGCTCAGTGGTGGAACAAAGATTATTGACACACTTTGAGCCAAGTGAATGGTGTATAAGTCCCTCCTGATGCTGGCCATGAGCTCTTCTTCACACTCAACTGCTCTCTGGTAACCCATGCAGAAATCCCCTACCCTGGTTGTCAAGGGCCATTTCTCAAGAATCTCACTTTTCTTTTTTCTTCCCAAGATAAAATTATCTTAAATATACCTTAGCAATAAGTGGCACTATTTCCATAATGGAAAGAGGAGACAGCTAGCTCCCAAATTATAGCTGAACATATTTTTATATATATAATGTGTGTAAAGCTATATAATTTACATAATGTAATAAATAGTAGGACCATGAATATTTGTTGGTGGAGGAAAGAAAACGAGGAAAGGAGTTAGTTAACGCTCTAATTATTTCAACAGAGAAATAAGATCTGAGAAAACTCAAGTCTGACATTTCCCACTTCAGCAAGCTCTACTCATATCCATTACTTTTTTTTTTTGTGGGGAAGATCGGCCCTGAGCTAACATATATTGCCAATCCTTCTCCTTTTTTTACCCCAAAGCCCCAGTAGATAGTTGTATGTCATAGTTGGACATCCTTCTAGTTGCTGTATGTGCGACGCCGCCTCAGCATGGCCCAACAAGTGGTGCTTCGGTGCGTGCCCGGGATCCAAACCCGGGCCGCCAGTAGCAGAGTGCACACACTTAACCGCTAAGCCACAGGGCCGGCCCCTATCCGTTACTTTTGTAGCCAGATTTGAGGAGACCGGGATCCTGCTATAGGATTGATTATTGCTCTAGTGCTTTTAATGTCATCATCTCTCAGGTTTAGTCTTCTGTGTCAGTCCCACTCTCTTAAGTATGGTGGGTCCCCTAGAAACAGAGCTTGAGATGGAGATTCTTTTTTAAATGATATATTGAGGAAGTACTCTCTTGAGAAGAGGAGTGAGGGAAGCAGGATAGAGCAGAGAAAGAAAGCTAAGTAAGTCTGTGGTCTCAGGAAGGTCTGGTTCCTCGGGAAGTTCTGAAACACATGTTGCATCACAGCTTTGGTCCTACTTGGAGGCAAGCAGGCTAATCTTTTGTAACTTTATGTCAGTCAGTCATTGAACTCTAGATGTGCCCTGGGAGGGATAGCATAACTTCCTGGGTGAGGTGCCTCTCATTTGATCACAGACAATTTTCTGGAGAAGGGGAGAACTGTGAGCCGTTAGCATTCAACTAACTACTGCAGATGGGATATAGGTGCACTGGCTTGGTGAAGGGGATCTAGGTGGGATGCCAACGGCATCCACTGCAGCCATTGTTCCTTTTATGGTATAAACTGGGTAGTCTGGACAAGTGTAAGACATTGGATGGACATTTGGGCAAGAGTGAAATATAGAGTTAAAGTTCAGGATGAAGTTAGTGTGTCAGGTTTTTTAAAAAATTGAAATAGGGTTTATCATAATAAAGTAGGTATTATTAAGTTTTAGATTAAGTTTGAAATGACTACTAGAAGTAAGTCTTAGGTTAATATTAAAGTTAGGGTTACGGCTAGAATTGGAGAGATCATTAGGATTAGTGATAAGGTTAGGTTTCAGTGTTAATCTATGATACTATTAGTATTGCTGCATTTGGACTGGAATTAGTCTTAAAGATAATCTAATGATTTAGTTAGAATTACAGTTGATATTAAGCATAGGGGAGCATAAGGGTGGGATAGGACAGAAGAAGTGATGGGATTTTTTATCATCTAAGTCTGATGTGTACTCAATCAATAGTCCATCTTTGGTGAACTAAATGATTTAAAATAAGCTTAGAATTTTTGCCTTAGTATTTCACTTGTTTTCAGGATTGACTTTAGAGTGGGGTTAGTCAGTAGGGCTGGGTGAATTTTCATCTGGGTGTCGAGTTATGAAGGATGGTTAGGTTGAGTTTAGAATAGAGTCAGAGTTTCGATGTACAATGAAGTTAGAGTTTGGGTCAGAGAATAGGACATCAGTGTGGAAAGAAGTGTAGTATTGTGATTCTGGAGAATCTGACAATGGCTTATCTTTGCATTGCAGCTTCTACCTGCCTGGCACTGATCACAGCTCAGCTTCTTCATTATGGTGGTCCCCAATGGCAATGGATCCAGTGCCACATATTTCATTCTAATAGGCCTCCCAGGCTTGGAAGAAGCTCAGTTCTGGTTGGCCTTCCCGTTGTGCTCCCTCTACCTTATTGCTGTGCTAGGTAACTTGATGATCATCTACATTGTGCGGACCGAGCACAGCCTACATGAACCCATGTATATATTTCTGTCTATGCTTTCTGGCCTTGACATCCTCATCTCCACCTCATCTATGCCCAAAATGATGGCCATCTTCTGGTTCAATTCCACTACCATCCAGTTTGATGCTTGTATGCTGCAGATGTTTGCCATCCACTCCTTATCTGGCATGGAGTCCACGGTACTGCTGGCCATGGCCTTTGACCGCTATGTTGCCATCTGCCACCCACTACGCCATGCCACTGTGCTAACATTGCCTCGTGTTACCAAGATTGGCATGGCTGCTGTGGTACGGGGTGCTGCACTTATGGCACCCCTTCCTGTCTTCATCAAACAGCTGCCTTTCTGCCATTCCAATATCCTTTCCCATTCCTACTGCCTACACCAAGATGTCATGAAGCTGGCTTGTGCTGACATCCATGTCAATATCATCTATGGCCTCATTGTCATCATCTCTGCCATTGGCCTGGACTCACTTCTCATCTCCTTGTCATATCTGCTTATCCTCAAGACTGTGTTGGGCTTGACACGTGAAGCCCAGGCAAAGGCATTTGGCACTTGTGTCTCTCATGTGTGTGCTGTTTTCATATTCTATGTACCATTCATTGGATTGTCTATGGTGCACCGCTTTGGCGAGCAGCATGACTCCCTCCTGCTCGTCATGATGGGCAACACTTACCTGCTTGTTCCTCCTGTGCTCAACCCTATCGTCTATGGAGTGAAGACAAAGGAGATCCGGCAGCGTATCATACGTCTTTTCCATGTGACCACACACACTTCAGATCCCTAGGTGTCAGTGATCAAACTTCTTTTTCATTCAAAGTTCTTCAATTCAGATATTAATATCAGCATTTTGGGAGATAGTATTTGGAAAAAAATCTTCCATAATAAAAACACAATGGACCTTTCAAAGATAAAACTAGTTGGAGAATCTCTATGTAGATAGGGGCAGCAGAACCACATATTCCATTTTTCAATATCATTTTTCCCTTTAGTTCTTCTCTCTATATAGTTATTACAACCCTGAAGCGGTTGTGGTTGGAGGGTTATTACTTCCCATTTAACCATTCAATCCAAATCTCTAAATTGCTTGCACTGCAAGTCCACAGCTTTCTGAGATAAGGGTGGTATATGTAAAGAATGTTTACCAAAGGATTAACATGGCAAAAGTAAAATATACACAAGAATACAATACCATCAAATAATTTGGTTTAAAACTATAATTTCCTCTTCAGAATCCTTAACCATATTGGATCTCAGAAAAAGAGATATACCTGCATTTCCTTCTTCAAAATGACCTCCACAGAGATAATTTCTTTTCTTCTGGGCACCAGACTTTAAGAAGAAGATTGGAAGTAAAACCATGAAAAGACTACAGCTACCTACATTAGTGAAAGATGACACACTCTGTTCTGAGAGTTTTCACAGCCCGTTTAGACTTTTCCTTATTTAATTTTCTTATCAACATTTTTATTTAGGCAAGAATATGATTAGTATCACCATTGTACCAATGGGGAAATTGATGTTCAATGGGGATCAGTGAATTACATGAGATCACGAAAAAAAATTGTCTTTGATTCCCAATCTCATATTGTGGGGAGGGACTGTTAGAGAGACGAATAGGGTAGTGACTTAGATATTTCCAGAGTCTTGCATTTTATAATGGAAGTATTTAATTTCCTTTCTCACTCATCCAGTATTGTATTTAGGAATTTCCTGTTAATGTTTCTGATGGCTTTAATCCCAATAGTTCCTGGTCCACTTGCCACTGTACTTGTGTAGTACTAGCAGGAACGTGTTTGAGTAATTCCCAAACAGTGGCTAGTTTGGGAAATAGTATGATTAGCTATTTCAGTGAGGACATTCACTGGATATCTGGAGAGACACTTTATGGAGAAATGTAACTGAGAACACTTAGAAGCTCATGGCAGAAATGACAAGTCTACCACAGAGCAGGGACTCAAGAGCAGGAGGCATGATGAGACTGAGCAGGGCCAATGGCCCATGTGGCTAGCCAGGAAGCAAGGCTAAGGCAAGCATGGGTCCATAGAAACTGAGAAGAGCGTATAAATGGACACCGTATATCCCCAGGGCTTTGAGCTACCCTATAGGGGAAGCCCACAGCATCAGTGCCCTGAGAATAAGACCACAGGAGAGGCCAATAAAGCCTGCATCCCTAGCAGCTGTAGTTACCATGAATATGGTCCCAGAGGTCCACCCAGGAGCCCCACAAGCCAGGCACAGCACTTCCAGAAGGAAGCTGAATGGGAAGGAGGGGTGTGGGTACTACAGGAGTGCAGTAGCAACGGACAGGGCAGAAATGAGACCACCACCTACATGGGGAGTGCTAGTCAGACCCAAAATGATGTAGGTGAGTGTGAGAGGCAGGTGTGAGAGCATGACACAGGCCAGGCAGTTTTCTAGCCATAGCTAGTACCACAGGACTGTTTGGTAGAGAGGGCATGGACAGAGCATAGCTGATTTCTTGGAATGGAATCTGGAAGATGAGAATTGTTAGCAGTGTGGAATCTAACGTGCCCAAGTGAGTGGTGGCCAGCAGTACTAGAATCAATAAACTAGAATAACGCAGACTGAATGGAGGATCAGCCTATTGCCCAATAGTGCCCTGACATTGGGATTGAGAGAAAGAGACAGACTGAAAGAGAAAGAAAGAGACAGACTTTTTTTCTCTTTAGGAAAGCAATACATGATTACTATAAACAAAAATATTAGAGACTCTGAAAATATAAAAGAAATAAAAATATAATAAAAACTCCAATAAACTTGTCACCTTAAAAGAAAAAAACATTGTTAGCATTTTGGTGTTTATTTGTCCAGATTTTTAATAAGCATTTGTGTGCATGTTTCTGTATGGGCATATGGTGAATGTGTGTATCTGTTTATATCTGGAATCCTATTAGAGATATAGATAGATGAATAATAAGCAGATAAATCAGACAGACACGTTTTAAATTTCCTCTAGAGATGCAGTCATTATCCTAGATTTTAGAAGAGATTTCAAGTCTATGATAGTTAATTCTCAGGATAAAGTTTCATGGTTTTGATCCTAAATGACTTAATGGTTTTGTGAGTGTAAAAACACATACACACCCCCCCACACACCCACCATCACCATCGCCACTACCCCTACCACCACCTTCCTTGTGTTTCTCAGTAAGTACTAAATGCCAGATACAGGGACAGAACTATAGCAGGAATATCCTAACTTCTAGATCAGATTTCTGGTCACTTACTTCATGAATACTCACTGGGCCCCTGGAAGGGCCTGGAGTTAAGGACTAGAATGAGGAGAAGCTGCCTCTATTAGGGGATTTGGCTGGAGGTTAGGGTATGTTCTGGACAAAGACCTTCATTATATGCCTTTTACATGGGCATTCTTTTACCTTCCCCATTTCCTTTGTTTGAATATTTCTGTCTCTGACCCTACCATCTCAGCCACATGGACCTTTGTTGGGTCCTGGAGAGGTCTGAATAATATTAAATCTCAGTCTATAAGTCACTTGCTCAATTTTTTAGGTTTTATCTGGAAATGTTTCATAAACATGTATTGCGTCCTCCATTCTAATGCCCAATGCTCTAGTCCAGATACTCACCTCTTGCTTGGACAATTACCATAACCTCCGTACTGGTACCTTTGCCTTGAACATCTTGGGCACTAGTCCTAAATCCCATGTAGCTTGCAGGAGGTTTTCCAAATACCACTCTGATTATCTAACTTCCCTGCTTAAGATCCATCAAAGGTCTTTTATTGCCTCCCATGTAGAGTTCAAACATCTTAGAATGTCAGTGGGCTCCTTCTTGTATCTTTTACACCTGTTCTTATCTTATTTTGCCATCTCTAATTTTTCCACATACTATGTTTGTCAGCTACTTAATATTTACTGTCTCATTGATTTCATGCACTTTGAAAGCCTCTGTTTCACCATGTTTTCTTTGTCTGAATTGCCTTTTGCCATTTTTCTTTTTAGTAACACCTTATAAAATGAAGCTCTTTATGATTCATCAGGCCAAGAGAAATATTCTCTCTTCAGCATTCCCATACCTCTTGGCACATACTTTAGAATTGGACCATTTCCAGTTCAGAAAAGTTTGAGTGAGACTGCTGAGTCATATCTATTCAAGTTAATAAAGTATCTTATGTCACTCCTTTTATTGAGTTGAGCTAAAACTTCCGTGGATGTAATGGACATAACACGTGGAAGGACATCCCATTCCACCATGTCTGGCCTTCTTGAGATAGGCGGACCTGAATTTGGAAAAGGACCATATTATGCCATTGGTTTAGGACTTCAGAGTTTATGTTCATTGTTTAAACATCTTAAACAAGGTGTTCAAACTTCTTGTCCATTCGGCTGGCATCTCATAACATTTTATTTTAGACTTGATCCAGAGGGAATGAAGCTGATGCAGAATCAGATTGTAGTCTGCCTTTTCCACCCCTAAGGAAGCCAACAGTGATGCAGGGCTTTTAACTCCAAGAAAGTTGAAGAATGAGGGCATGGGGAATCTGGAGGAGATCTGAAATGGGAACATAAAAGAGGATGCAATTGTCAATGTCACACTTCACCACGGAAACTGCCAGGCAAGGGAGTCTCTTGGAGAAATGGACATTCCTGAAAGAGGGTATAAGAAGAGTCAGTGCTGAGGCAGGTGGCACCATTTCACTGTGTCCCTAGCCAGCATCATCTGATCAACACATTTGTTTATTCACTTATTCAACAAATATTTATGGAAAAAATATAATAAAGTAAGATACTATAATGGGGGGCTAGGGCTACAGACAAGAATAGAACAGAGAACCTGACTTTAGAGAGCTTTCAGTTACTACATATTCTTGCAGCAATAACTATGTAAGCTTGCTCCCTGACCCCAAAGCATCCTTTCTTTATTTCTGCCACTGAAGTTGTAGAGCAGAGTTAGGGTGGATGGGGGAGGTCTGCTTTAGACCATACATTCCAGAGTAACTTGTATTGGAGGTAGAGATGTTCTTCCAGTGTCTCCTTCCCAGATGTTTCCAGAGCACTGACTTTCTTCCAAACTCATTTCCTCCTTCTCCTCCTCTAATTCTTCCTTTTCATCTTTTTTATCATCACGGTTGAGAGGAAATCTCTTCCTTACCTTTATTTTTATGCTGTTCAGATGGATCATTGTTCTGTATTAAAATATAGGTATACCACTGGAGGGAAGCCACACTTCCAAAGGTAGGGAGTGCAGAATTGGGAAGATAGAAATTCCTTCTAGTGAAAATAACCCAGAGAAAGTATCTTTAGAAAACGTAGGTGATGAGAAGAAAGACTCTAAGAAGGAGGAAAAGAAGTATCGTCCTTTTTTGATCCAGATATAGAAGGTTTTATGTCTTTCAAGAAATTTTTCATGTCATCTAAGTTGTCAAATTTACTGGCATAAAAGTGTTCATAATATTCTCTTATAATTTTTTAATATCTGTAGCATCTGTAGTGAGGTCACCTCTCTCATTCTTGATATTGATAGTTTGTGTCTTTTTTTTTTTTCCTTTCTCTTGTTCAGTCTGGCTAGAGGCTTATCAATCTTATTGTTTTTTCAATAAAACAGATTTTGGTTTCATTAATTTTCTCTATTGTTTTCTTTTTCTATTTTGTTGATTTCCTCTCTTTATTGTTTTCTTTCTCCTGCTTACATTGAATTTAATTTCCTCTTCTTTTTCTAGGTTCTTATAGTGGAAACTGAGGTTATTGGGATATTTTTTTCTTATTTAGGTGCTGTAGTGCTATACATTTTCCTCTAAGTACTGCTTGACATGAATCCCACAAATTTGATGTTTTATTTTCATTTAGTTAAAAATAATTAGTAATTATTGGCTTTAGAAGCATAAGAATTAGGCAGCT